ACAGAACACGAGGACACTCACTAACAGAACACAATGACGCTTGACTAACAGAACACGATGATGCTCACTAACAGAACATGATGACGCTCAGTGACAGAACACGATGACGCTCACTAACAGAACACGATGACACTCACTAACAGAACACGATGACGCTCACTAACAGAACACGATGACACTCACTAACAGAACATGATGACACTCACTAACAGAACACGAGGACACTCACTAACAGAACACGATGACGCTCACTAACAGAACACGAGGACACTCACTAACAGAACACGAGGACACTCACTAACAGAACACGAGGACACTCACTAACAGAACACAATGACGCTTGACTAACAGAACACGATGATGCTCACTAACAGAACACGAGGACACTCACTAACAGAACACGAGGACGCTCACTAACAGAACACGAGGACACTCACTAACAGAACACGATGACGCTCACAAACAGAACACGATGACGCTCACTAACAGAACACGATGACGCTTACTAACAGAACACGATGACGCTCACTAACAGAACACGATGACGCTCACTAACAGAACACGATGACGCTCACTAACAGAACACGATGACGCTCACTAACAGAACACGATGATGCTCACTAACAGAACACGATGATGCTCACTAACAGAACATGAGGACGCTCACTAACAGAACACGATGACGCTCACTAACAGAACACGATGATGCTCACTAACAGAACACGATGACGCTCACTAACAGAACACGATGATGCTCACTAACAGAACACGATGACGCTCACTAACAGAACACGATGATGCTCACTAACAGAACACGATGACGCTCACTAACAGAACACGATGATGCTCACTAACAGAACACGATGACGCTCACTAACAGAACACGAGGACACTCACTAACAGAACACGAGGACGCTCACTAACAGAACACGAGGACACTCACTAACAGAACACGAGGACGCTCACTAACAGAACACGAGGACACTCACTAACAGAACACGAGGACGCTCACTAACAGAACACGAGGACGCTCACTAACAGAACACGATGACGCTCACAAACAGAACACGATGACGCTCGCTAACAGAACACGATGACGCTCACTAACAGAACACGATGACGCTTACTAACAGAACACGATGACGCTCACTAACAGAACACGATGACGCTCACTAACAGAACACGATGACGCTCACTAACAGAACACGAGGACGCTCACTAACAGAACACGATGATGCTCACTAACAGAACACGATGATGCTCACTAACAGAACACGATGATGCTCGCTAACAGAACAGGATGACGCTCACTAACAGAACACGATGACGCTCGCTAACAGAACACGATGACGCTCACTAACAGAACACGATGACGCTCACTAACAGAACACGATGACGCTCACTAACAAAACACGATGATGCTCACTAACAGAACACGATGACGCTCACTAACAGAACACGATGACGCTCACTAACAGAACACGACGCTCACTAACAAAACACGATGACGCTCACTAACAAAACACGATGATGCTCACTAATAGAACACGATGATGCTCACTAACAGAACACGATGACGCTCACTAACAGAACACGACGCTCACTAACAGAACACGATGATGCTCACTAACAGAACACGATGACGCTCACTAACAGACCACGATGACGCTCACTAACAGAACACGATGACACTCACTAACAGAACACGAGGACGCTCACTAACAGAACACGATGACGCTCACTAATAGAACACGATGACGCTCACTAACAGAACACGATGACGCTCACTAACAGAACACGATGATGCTCACTAACAGAACACGATGACGCTCACTAACAGAACACGAGGACGCTCGCTAACAGAACACGAAGACGCTCACTAACAGAACACAATGACGCTCACTAACACAACACGATGACGCTCACTAACAGAACACGATGATGCTCACTAACAGAACACGAGGACGCTCACTAACAGAACATGATGACGCTCACTAACAGAACACGAAGACGCTCGCTAACAGAAAACGATGACACTCACTAACAGAACACGAAGACGCTCACTAACAGAACACGATGACGCTCACTAACAGAACACGAGGACACTCACTAACAGAACACGAAGACGCTCACTAACAGAACACGATGACGCTCACTAACAGAACACGATGACGCTCACTAACAGAACACGAGGACGCTCACTAACAGAACACGATGATGCTCGCTAACAGAACACGATGACGCTCACTAACAAAACACGAGGACGCTCACTAACAGAACACGATGATGCTCACTAACAGAACACGATGATGCTCACTAACAGAACACGATGACGCTCACTAACAGAACACGAGGACGCTCACTAACAGAACACGATGACGCTCACTAACAGAACACGATGATGCTCACTAACAGAACACGATGATGCTCACTAACAGAACACGATGATGCTCACTAACAGAACACGAGGACGCTCACTAACAGAACACGATGACGCTCACTAACAGAACACGATGACGCTCACTAACAGAACACGAGGACGCTCACTAACAGAACACGATGATGCTCACTAACAGAACACGATGATGCTCACTAACAGAACACGATGATGCTCGCTAACAGAACAAGATGACGCTCACTAACAGAACACGATGACGCTCGCTAACAGAACACGATGACGCTCACTAACAGAACACGATGACGCTCACTAACACAACACGATGACGCTCACTAACAAAACACGATGATGCTCACTAACAGAACACGATGACGCTCACTAACAGAACACGATGACGCTCACTAACAGAACACGACGCTCACTAACAAAACACGATGACGCTCACTAACAAAACACGATGATGCTCACTAATAGAACACGATGATGCTCACTAACAGAACACGATGACGCTCACTAACAGAACACGACGCTCACTAACAGAACACGATGATGCTCACTAACAGAACACGATGACGCTTACTAACAGACCACGATGACGCTCACTAACAGAACACGATGACACTCATTAACAGAACACGAGGACGCTCACTAACAGAACACGATGACGCTCACTAATAGAACACGATGACGCTCACTAACAGAACATGAAGACGCTCACTAACAGAACACGATGACGCTCGCTAACGGGACACGATGATGCTCACTAACAGAACACGATGACGCTCACTAACAGAACACGAGGACGCTCGCTAACAGAACACAAAGACTCTCACTAACAGAACACGAGGACGCTCACTAACAGAACACGAAGATGCTCACTAACAGAACACGATGACGCTCACTAACAGAACACGATGACGCTCACTAACAGAACACGATGACGCTCACTAACAGAACACGAGGACGCTCACTAACAGAACATGAAGACGCTCGCTAACAGAAAACGATGACGCTCACTAACAGAACACGAAGACGCTCACTAACAGAACACGATGACGCTCACTAACAGAACACGAGGACGCTCACTAACAGAACACGAAGACGCTCACTAACAGAACACGATGACGCTCACTAACAGAACACGATGATGCTCACTAACAGAACACGAGGACGCTCACTAACAGAACACGATGACGCTCGCTAACAGAACACGAAGACGCTCGCTAACGGAACACGAGGACGCTCGCTAACAGAACACGAGGACGCTCACTAACAGAACACGAGGACGCTCACTAACAGAACAGGATGACGCTCACTAACAGAACACGATGACGCTCACTAACAGAACACGATGACGCTCACTAACGGAACACGATGACGCTCACTAACAGAACAGGATGACGCTCGCTAACAGAACACGATGACGCTCACTAACAGAACACGAGGACGCTCGCTAACGGAACACGAAGATGCTCACTAACAGAACACGATGACGCTCAATAACAGAACAGGATGACGCTCGCTAACAGAACACGATGACGCTCACTAACAGAACACGAAGACGCTCACTAACAGAACACGATGACGCTCAATAACAGAACAGGATGACGCTCACTAACAGAACACGAAGACGCTCACTAACAGAACACGATGACGCTCACTAACAAAACACGATGACGCTCACTAACAGAACACGAGGATGCTCACTAACAGAACACGATGACGCTCACTAACAGAACACGAAGACGCTCACTAACAGAACACGATGACGCTCACTAACAGAACAGGATGACACTCACTAACAGAACACGATGACGCTCACTAACAGAACACGATGACGCTCACTAACAGAACACGATGACGCCTACTAACAGAACACGAGGATGCTCACTAACAGAACACGATGACGCTCACTAACAGAACACGAAGACGCTCACTAACAGAACACGATGACGCTCACTAACAGAACAGGATGACACTCACTAACAGAACACGATGACGCTCACTAACAGAACACGATGACGCTCACTAACAGAACACGATGACGCTCACTAACAGAACACGATGACGCTCGCTAACAGAACACGATGACGATCACTAACAGAACACGATGACGTTCACTAACAGAACACGATGATGCTTACTAACAGAATACGATGACGCTCACTAACAGAACACGATGACGCTCACTAACAGAACACGATGATGCTCACTAACAGAACACGATGACGCTCACTAACAGAACACGATGACGCTCACTAACAGAATACGATGACGCTCACTAACATAACACGATGACGCTCGCTAACAGAACACGATGATGCTCACTAACAGAACACGAGGACGCTCACTAACAGAACACGAAGACGCTCACTAACAGAACACGATAACGCTCACTAACAGAACACGAAGACGCTCACTAACAGAACACGAGGACACTCGCTAACAGAACACGAAGACGCTCGCTAACAGAACACGAAGACGCTCACTAACGGAACACGATGACGCTCACTAACGGAACACGAAGACGCTCGCTAACAGAACACGAGGGCACTCGCTAACGCATGGGTAGGGCGTGCACCGCCGCTCACGCGGCGCGTACCTGGCTGCAAGTACTCGTACTCGTATCCCAGCTCCCTCGAGGGCACGAAGGCGGCCGCGTTGGTGACAAGCGGCAGGAAGGGCACCATGAAGTCCCCGCCGTTCTGGCCGATGGGTGAGCCGCGCGCCGGGTAGGCGGAGGCGTTCGCGCCATGAGCCCGCAGCCACCGCTCGTACAAACTGCGCGCGGGGTGAGAGATGATATCACATTGCCCCATGATGACATCACATTGCCCCATGATGACATCACATTGCCCCATGATGATGTCACATTGCCCCATGATGACATCACATTGCCCCATGATGACATCACATTACCCCATGATGACATGACATTGCCCCATGATGACATCACATTGCCCCATGATGACATCACTTTGCCCCATGATGACATCACATTGCCCCGTGATGACATCACATTGCCCCGTGATGACATCACATTGCCCCATGATGACATCGCATTGCCCCATGATGACATCGCATTGCCCCGTGATGACATCACATTGCCCCATGATGACATCACATTGCCCCATGATGACATCACATTGCCCCATGATGACATCACATTGCCCCGTGATGACATCACATTGCCCCATGATGACATCACATTGCCCCGTGATGACATCACATTGCCCCGTGATGACATCACATTGCCCCATGATGACATCGCATTGCCCCATGATGACATCGCATTGCCCCGTGATGACATCACATTGCCCCATGATGACATCACATTGCCCCATGATGACATCACATTGCCCCATGATGACATCACATTGCCCCGTGATGACATCACATTGCCCCATGATGACATCACATTGCCCCGTGATGACATCACATTGCCCCATGATGACATCACATTGCCCCGTGATGACATCACATTGCCCCGTGATGACATCACATTGCCCCATGATGACATCGCATTGCCCCATGATGACATCGCATTGCCCCGTGATGACATCACATTGCCCCGTGATGACATCACATTGCCCCGTGATGACATCACATTGCCCCATGATGACATCACATTGCCCCATGATGACATCACATTGCCCCATGATGACATCACATTGCCCCGTGATGACATCACATTGCCCCATGATGACATCACATTGACCCATGATGACATTACATTGCCCCATGATGACATCGCATTGCCCCATGATGACATTACATTGCCCCGTGATGACATCACATTGCCCCGTGATGACATCACATTGCCCCGTAATGACATCACATTGCCCCGTGATGACATCACATTGCCCCGTGATGATCTCACATTGCCCCATGATGACATCGCATTGCCCCGTGATGACATCACATTGCCCCATGATGACATCACATTGCCCCGTGATGACATCACATTGCCCCGTGATGACATCACATTGCCCCATGATGACATCACATTGCCCCATGATGACATCACATTGCCCCGTGATGACATCACATTGCCCCGTGATGACATCACATTGCCCCATGATGACATCACATTGCCCCATGATGACATCACATTGCCCCGTGATGACATCACATTGCCCCATGATGACATCACATTGCCCCGTGATGACATCGCATTGCCCCGTGATGACATCGCATTGCCCCGTGATGACATCACATTGCCCCATGATGACATCACATTGCCCCATGATGACATCACATTGCCCCGTGATGACATCACATTGCCCCATGATGACATCACATTGACCCATGATGACATTACATTGCCCCGTGATGACATCACATTGCCCCATGATGACATCACATTGACCCATGATGACATCACATTGACCCATGATGACATCACATTGCCCCATGATGACATCACATTGACCCATGATGACATTACATTGCCCCGTGATGACATCACATTGACCCATGATGACATCACATTGCCCCATGATGACATCACATTGCCCCATGATGACATCACATTGACCCATGATGACATTACATTGCCCCGTGATGACATCACATTGCCCCATGATGACATCACATTGCCCCATGATGACATCACATTGCCCCGTGATGACATCACATTGCCCCGTGATGACATCACATTGCCCCATGATGACATCACATTGCCCCATGATGACATCACATTGCCCCATGATGACATCACATTGACCCATGATGACATTACATTGCCCCGTGATGACATCACATTGCCCCATGATGACATCACATTGCCCCATGATGACATCACATTGCCCCATGATGACATCACATTGCCCCATGATGACATCACATTGCCCCGTGATGACATCACATTGCCCCGTGATGACATCACATTGCCCCATGATGACATCACATTGCCCCATGATGACATCACATTGCCCCATGATGACATCACATTGCCCCATGATGACATCACATTGCCCCGTGATGACATCACATTGCCCCGTGATGACATCACATTGCCCCATGATGACATCACATTGCCCCATGATGACATCGCATTGCCCCATGATGACATCACATTGCCCCATGATGACATCACATTGCCCCGTGATGACATCACATTGCCCCGTGATGACATCACATTGCCCCATGATGACATCACATTGACCCATGATGACATCACATTGCCCCATGATGACATCACATTGCCCCGTGATGACATCACATTGCCCCATGATGACATCACATTGCCCCGTGATGACATCACATTGCCCCGTGATGATCTCACATTGCCCCATGATGACATCACATTGCCCCATGATGACATCACATTGCCCCATGATGACATCACATTGCCCCATGATGACATCACATTGCCCCGTGATGACATCACATTGCCCCGTGATGACATCACATTGCCCCATGATGACATCACATTGCCCCGTGATGACATTACATTGCCCCGTGATGACATCACATTGCCCCATGATGACATCACATTGCCCCATGATGACATCACATTGCCCCATGATGACATCACATTGCCCCATGATGACATCACATTGCCCCGTGATGACATCACATTGCCCCGTGATGACATCACATTGCCCCGTGATGACATCACATTGCCCCGTGATGACATTACATTGCCCGTGATGACATCACATTGCCCCATGATGACATCACATTGCCCCGTGATGACATTACATTGCCCCGTGATGACATCACATTGCCCCATGATGACATCACATTGCCCCGTGATGACATCACATTGCCCCATGATGACATCACATTGCCCCGTGATGACATCACATTGCCCCGTGATGACATCACATTGCCCCGTGATGACATCACATTGCCCCATGATGACATCGCATTGCCCCGTGATGACATCACATTGCCCCGTGATGATCTCACATTGCCCCATGATGACATTACATTGCCCCATGATGACATCACCACCTCGCCCCAGCTCCCGTCCGTCCCGTCCTTCACCTGTCCACGAAGGTGTGGTGCATCGTGAAGATGGGGTCGTTGGCGGAGCCCTGCACCGAGGACATGGAGCCGTTCATGAAGATGTGCAGCGAGTTGTGCATGCTGCGGCGCGAGGGGGTCACCATGCCGGTCAGCGGGTCAGCGAAGCCTGGGGGGAAGGGGGGCGGGGTCGCGCGGGTGCCGGACATTGTCAACGAGAGAGAGTGTATGTGTGTGTGTGCGCGTATGTGTGTGCGTGTGTGTGTGTGCGTCAGCCAGGAAAACATCATGGCACAAAGTGGGGATAACCCTGCTGAGGGTGCGGTGCCTCAAATATTGGAAGAGGTCACCCCTTATGAGTGGCTGGCTGAGGTGCCAGATGTTGAGGAAGTACTGAGGGCGATCCGGAGTCTGAGACCAGGGAAGGCACCGGGCAGAGATGATCTCCCAAGCGAAATGCTGAGGGAGGGTGGCGTTTGTGCACAGACTGCCCTATATGACATCATAGCAACAGTCTGGACCACTGGACGGGTTCCGCAGGACTGGAAGGATGCCCTGGTGGTCCCCCTCTTTAAGAAGGGGGACCGCACAGACTGTAACAACTACAGGGGCATCTCACTCCTCAGTGTGCCGGGTAAGGTCCTGGCAAGGATTATTCAGCATCGCCTTGCTCGGCACGCTGAGGAGAGGCTTGCGGAGCCCCAATGCACAGATGCCATATTTTCTGTCCGTCTGCTACAGCAGAGGTGTAGGGAATTCCAAAAAGACCTACATCTCTGCTTTATTGACCTGGTCAAAGCCTATGATGCCATCAGTAGGACTGGGCTCTGGGTTGTTCTTCGTGCTTTCGGAGTCCCTGACCCTCTGCTCACGATCATTAAGGACCTTCATGATGGTGAGCGGGCCCGGGTAAAACTACGTGGCCGGGAGTCGGAGCCTTTCCCTGTACACCTTGGGGTGCGACAGGGATGTCCTCTGGCTCCCACATTATTTAACATCTATTTTGACCGCGTAGTTCGTGAAGCCTTCAATAGCTGTACCGGGGGAATTTCCATTTGGTACAGATATAATGGGAGGCTGATCGACGCCCGGGTGCGATCAAGGGATGGGTCCCTATTGGTCAACCACGTTATGTATGCCGATGATTTGGTAATAGCTGCTCATTCAGAAGAGGAGTTGGAGACGCTGCTGCTGAGACTGGAGCGTGCCACTAAGAGGTGGGGCCTTACCATCAGCCCCACCAAAACTAAGCACCTGCCTGGGTATTTTGTACCATCGGACACTCCACCCCCACAACTCCCAATTGGTGATGGGGCAGTTGTGGAGAGAGTGGAGAGTTTCCCATACCTGGGCAGTGTGCTTATGACCGGCTCCAGTTTATCAGCAGAGGTCTCACTCCGAATCAGTCGAGCGGCAATATCTTTTCATCGGTTGCGTAACGCTGTGTGGAAGCTACCTGGTCTGTCGCTCCGCACGAAGCTTCAGGTCTTCTCGGCCGCGGTCATTCTCTCCCTTCTCTACGCTTGCGGAACGTGGACCCCCCTAGTGGAGCATCTTCGCCGGTTGGAAACATTTAGGCTGGCCTGCCTACGATCCATCCTGGGTTTAACCAGGCTGGATTGTGTGAGGAGCTCACAAGTCCTTGAAAGATCTGGGCAAAGTCCCATCAGTGAGCTCCTCCGGCGGGCAAGGCTGCGTTGGCTGGGTCATGTAGCCCGCATGCCCAGCCACCGCATGCCTAAACAGCTTTTGTTCGGCCGGATCGAGGGGGCTAAACGGGCGCGGCACGGGCTAGAGAAGAGATGGAGTGATGTGGTACAGGAGGACGTGGAGCTGAGTGGACTTGCCGATGACTGGTACCAGCGGTGTCAAGATCGGCCTCAGTGGAGGAGGCTCGTGAAGGACGCTACTGGGCAGTTGGAGGCAGTCGCCCTCCAACAACAACGGAGGGCGGAGGAGCGACGCTCACAACAACGAGCGGAGCGCCGGGTGGCTAAAGCACAGCAAATTGGCACAGTAGGGGGCACAGGTGGCGCATCAGCCAGTCATCTCGGTCATCTCGGTCAGTCGACCCGTGGCACCTGGGTCTGCCCCGTGACCTCCTGCCAGCGGGCGTTCGACACTTCACGTGGCCTGAAGGTGCACATGGCCTGGCACAAGCGTCGTGGTGACGTCACCGCCACTTAGTGGCGAATGGCGGTTGTTGTTGTTGTTGTTGGTGTAGCGGTTAGCGCGCTGCGCTATGAACCAGGCGACCCGGGTTCGATTCCCGCTCACGGCCAACACCAGGGACGATTATCTGAACCGGTACTGGGCATCCCCTAGGTCGACTCAGCCTCAAATGAGTACCTGGTGCGGTGTGTAGTAAACATCATACGGTTGGCTACGCACGGTGCGAAAGAAGTTCAACCTGTACATACAAACATCGCCACTCAGGAGACGAAAGGCGACCGGGTGTGGTACTGGCCACCTCGTGTGCCGTGCCGGCCTTCATAGGTGCTGCTACTCGCTCACAGCACTTGCCCCTACAGTCCGTTAAGGCTACACGCGGGATCTTTGTCTTTGTCGACACAGCGTCCTGTGCTCGTGTGCGCTCCGAAGCTGGCGAACCCCGGGTTCGATTCCCGCTCACTGCCCACCAACACCGGTGACGATCTATCTGAACCGGTCTTGGGCCTCCCCACGGTTGACCATAGCCATGGTGTGGAGTCAACGTCGCCACTGGGGAGACAAAGGCGGCCGGGCGTGGTGCTGGCCACCCACCCCCTCGTGTGCCGTGCCGGCCTTCATAGGTGCTACTCGCTAACAGCACTTGCCCTAACAAGTCTGTTAGATCTAGATTTGAAGCTTTCGTGACTGCAGGAATCCATACTCTTTTTGTTCTTTCGGTAAAGTCACGTAGGTAGAAATAAAATAAATCACGACGTTTCGGGCGCAACACAAGCGTCCATCATTAGGTGGGAAAGCAAGGGTCTGCAGCAGACCATGCAGGTGGGAAAGCATGGTCTGCCTTTTTTCACCTGATGATGAACGCTGTATCTATTGATACAGTAAATCTGCCTGTGACGGTCCCACCTGATGACGGATACTTGTGTTGCCTCCGAAACGTCGTGATTTATTATTTTATTTTTATTAATTTTACTTTTCACCTACGTGACTTTACCGAAAAAAACCCCAAGAGTATGAATCCTTGCAGTCACGAAAGCTTCAAATCTCGAACCAAAAAGTACGTCCGTTAAAGTCTCCCACGAGGAGTGGCAGCCGGCCGGGCGGGCTGCGAATCGTCGCCAGAGGTCGCAAACGGATTTTGTTTTCTTACCCGTACCCGGCCGCACCAGGATCGCAAATGGGTACCAGTACGGGTACGGGTACCCGTTCCCTACCCGTACCCTACCCAAAATGAGTGACAAACGGTTACTCAACAGTGACTCACGGCCTACCCGTACCCGTACCCGGCCGCACCAGGGTTGCAAATGGGTACCCGTACCCGTACCCGGCTGGGTACGGGTACCCGTTCCCTACCCGTACCCTACCCGAAATGAGTGACAAACGGTTACTCACCAGTGACTCACGGCCTACCCGTACCCGTACCCGGCCGCACCAGGGTCGCAAACGGCTACCCGTACCCGGCCGGGTACTAGTAGCCGGGGTATCAGGTAGGGTACGGGTACCGGGTACCCGATTGCGACCTCTGATCGTCGCCGTGGGCGCAGCAAAAAGAAGCAGCGACCGTGGACAAGCTCGACGCGGACCTTCCAGTGCGTTCCTGAAGCTCCGGTTCGCGTCGCGGTCGAAGGGCGCGGTGTCGAAGTCGACGAGGCCGAGGCACGACTCCACGTGGACGCTCGTGGGCAGCGAGGCGATGCGCGTCGGGTCGTGGCGCCCCGGGTTTCGCAGCACGGGGCCCTCGGGCGAGCCGTCACACAGCACGCCCCGGCGGTTGTAGTCGTCCGGCCGGGTGCAGATCACCTGTAAGGGGGAGTGGGACGTGTGTTGTATGTCTGCTGAGCTTTTTTCGCACCGTACGTGGCCAATGTTGATAATTATGTAATCGGAGGAATGTTTGTAAGTTCGACTTCTTTCGCACCGTACCTGGCCAACCATTGCGAATTAGAGGCATGTATATTGAACTTTTTTCGCACCGTACGTGGCCAATGTTGATCATCAAAGGAATGTATGTACGTTCGACTTTTTTCGCATCGTACCTGGCCAACCATTGCGAATCAGAGGCATGTATATTGAACTTTTTTCGCACCGCACGTGGCCAATGTTGATCATCAAAGGAATGTATGTACGTGCGACTTTTTTCGCATCGTACCTAGCCAACCATTGCGAATCAGAGGCATGTATATTGAACTTTTTTCGCACCGCACGTGGCCAATGTTGATCATCAAAGGAATGTATGTACGTGCGACTTTTTTCGCACCGTACCTAGCCAACCATTGCGAATCAGAGGCATGTATATTGAACTTTTTTCGCACCGTACGTGGCCAATGTTGATAACACTGGTCAGCAAACTTTTTCTGGCATAAGGTATTCCAACGGTTTTAAGGCAATTTTGGGGTGCTGATTCCAAATCTGGCATCAGTTTGTGTCTATCACATCAGGTCTTTGAGATATCAAATATTGCATTTTCAATAAAAACTGCAGAAGAAAAATATTAAATAAATGTGGATATCTACATAAAATTATATTATAAACACACTATCCTAAAAATACAGCACCATATTTTAACACTAAAGCAGTCACCGACTCGCAACAACTTGCAATCGTAAGTGACGGAGTTAATTTCGGGTAAAATCAATTAAAATGGGGTATGCCGATAGCATAAAAATGAGATGTGATAGAGCAAATCTGAGATCAGATTTGGAATCGGCACTCTGAAATTAGTCTAGAACAGCTGCAAAAGTCCAGGCCACAAAAAAAAAAAATTTTGTTGACCAGTGTAATCGGAGGAATGTATGTAAGTTCGACTTTTTTCGCACCGTACCTGGCCAACCATTGCGAATCAGAGGAATGTATATTGAACTTCTTTCGCACCGTACGTAACCAACCGTGCCCATCGGAGGTACGCACATTGAACTTATTTCGCAGCGTACTTGACATTTGGCTGCTAAACATCTCTACATGATAAGCCACTTTGTTGAGCTTTCATTTGGGGCCGATGTCGCTTCTGAAACAAGAGCTACATTGCTCAACAGGCCTTACCTGGTAAAAAACTAACTAAAAATTGTTTTAGTTTAGTTTCGTGTAGTCTAAGGTCAAGGCATAGGCGCAGCTCCTGTAATGGCTCTGCTTCCGTCACTGCTGGTGGGAGAGGCCCCGCTAGAGGGCAGCTCTGGAGGTCCCTGCTCTCTTTTTCTCTGTGTTTCCAGTGTTCAGGGGCCTGCTTAAGACACGGCTCCGGCTGGAGCACGCGTACCGCACACATGTTGGTGATGTGCAGCGCGTCTTCTTCGAACGCCGGGGAGCCGGACAAGCCCCTCTCTGTACCAGCGTGGACGGCACCCTCGTGGTGTTCACCTTCTGAAGCGCTCGCTCGTCACTGTGGCGTGCGCGATGACCACCACAACCACCACCACCACGTGACTTTTCTTTCGTGTTGTGCGCGGTGCTTTTAGCGCCACAGCGCGTGGATTTGTAGCGTTTATTTCCATTTGTTTGCTGGTGACTTTGTGTATTTCATATCGAAATCGCCTCCAGTGTTGTTGCTGCTGGCGGCAATAAAAGTTGGTTAAAAGTCAAAAAGTCTCTCTTTCTCTCTCTCGGATCGGCAACCTTTCAAAGAAGAAGACGAAGACTAAGAATAAGAACACGAGCCACCTCGTGCACACACAACGCAGACGCCAGCCGTTCGGCAAGTCGCGTGGGCCGAGGGGTTAAACCGTGGCCACTTGCCGCCTCGTTCCAAGACACACGCACCGGAGTAGGAGAGCAGATTTAGACTTGAAACTTTCGTGACTGCAGGAATTCACATTCTATGGTTCTTTCGGTAAAATCACGTAGATAGAAAATTAAATAATGAAAAAAATCATAACATAAAAAATATTTCAAAAATGAAAAAATAAAAAACTCATGACGTTTCGATAGCGACACAAGCGACGCTATTGAAACTTCGTAAGTTTGTTTTATGTTTTTATTATTTTTATCATTTTTATTATTTTCATTATTTTTATTTTCTATCTACGTGACTTTAGCGAAATAACCACAGAATGGAAGAGCAGATGACAGCGCACATTCCGACTTAAATAAACAACAAAGAGGTGATGGAATAAACTGCGCCTGTTTAGTTTTTTTCTTCCCTCCTAGTTATTCTTTACCCATGCAGTTAGTTTGACTGTTGTACATTTTCTTGTCACCAAGACATTCCGTAGTTACCCATATCCCCCTGCCATGTTCAGTATATTATTTTTTTGTACTTGAAATTATGTTTAAGATTTTTAAAAATTAATTTTAAAACGGCTGCCCGTAAGGGGGCAGCCAAAGGGCCGTGAGGGGGGCAGCCACATTGTTTCACCCGTGCTGCCTATTCCACCCGTGTCACCCGTGCCACCCGTGCCACCCGTTCCTTTTATTCCACACCTTCCACCCATGCCACCCGTGCCATGGGTGTCACAAGTACGACCAGCACTGTCTATTCCACCCGTGCCATTAATGCCACCCGGCCCAACCGTGCCATGGGTGTCACACGTACCACCAGCACCGTCTATTCCACCCGTGCCATTAATGCCACCCAGCCCACCCGTGCCATGAGTGTCACAAGTACCACCAGCACCATCTATTCCACCCGTGCCATTAATGCCACCCAGCCCACCCGTGCCATGAGTGTCACACGTACCACCAGCACCATCTATTCCACCCGTGCCATTAATGCCACCCAGCCCACCCGTGCCATGAGTGTCACACGTACCACCAGCACCATCTATTCCACTCGTGCCATTAATGCCACCCAGCCCACCCGTGCCATGAGTGTCACACGTACCACCAGCACCGTCTATTCCACCCGTGCCATTAATGCCACCCAGCCCACCCGTGCCATGAGTGTCACACGTACCACCAGCACCATCTATTCCACCCGTGCCATTAATGCCACCCAGCCCACCCGTGCCATGGGTGTCACAAGTACGACCAGCACCGTCTATTCCACCCGTGCCATGAATGCCACCCGGCCCAACCGTGCCGTATTTTATATCCGTGCCACCCGCGGCACCCATGCCACATTGTGCCACCCGTGCCACCCATGGGCACCCGTGCCTTTAATTCCACACCTCCCACCCATTCAACCCGTGCCACCCGTGCCATGTATTTCCCTCCCTCCCCGCGCCGTGCCACGACGCGTTCCTTCGGCTTTTAGTTTTTTAGTTTTTCCCCACGTTGCCGAACCGATCGGCCCACTCGCCTGCCACGCGGAGAAGACGGACGCGGGGCTGAGCCGGCCCGCGACGCTCGGATGCCGACCCCCGAAGAAGTCGTCCGTGCAGACCTCGCAGTCCTGCGCGTCCCTCCAGTCCCAGTAGGGGATCGTGAACTCCTCGTCTCCCGTCAGCTTGCGGATCTCTCTCTCCCACATGAGCAGGAAGACGCGGTGCCACGGCGCGAACCCCGGCCCCTCGTGCGCAAAGTCCACGCCGGGCCACGCCACGGGCCCCACGGGGCCCACGAGGAGCGCGTCACGCGACGCGTAGTAGTGCATCCACACGAACAGGTCGAAGACGCTGACGTCCCTGAACGCCGGCCGCGTCCCGTTGCCCATCTGCTCGAGGGTGGCGGCGGCGATCTGGAACTCGGGGTGGACGCTCACCTTGGCCAGGTTGATGTACGAGAAGAATTTGCGTCGCTCGCCGGCGCTCAGCAGCATCAGGTTGCGTCTCAGGCTCGGCTCACTCGGCCGCTCGGTGCACGCGGGGCCGCGCCAGCCGAAGCTGCACTCGCCGCAGTCGTGGCCCCAGTAGTTGGCCCGGCAGCGACATAACCGCGAGTAGAAGGCCGTGGGCCACAGCTCGCGGTCGTCAACGCCAGCGAAGGGAAAGCCCGGCCCGTGCGGCTCCGTGGACGGCACCACGAGCTCGCAGGAGCCGCGCGCCGTCGCCTCCCCGCACGGAGAGCCGTCGCCGGGCCACGGAGGGCAGCAGATCTTGGCCACCAAGTTCGCCGAGGAGGTGCACGCTCTGGGGAACTGCGCTGAGCATGGCGGCGGCGTGGCCAGCGTGACCAGGCAGACGGCCAACGCGAGGAGGAGATTGTGACGGTGCCGCTGATGGTGGTGATGATGATGATGGTGGTGATGGGCTGGTGAAGGTGACATCTTGCGGATGGGGTCGGTCACGGTGGCTGGAGACGCGCTCGAGGAATCGCGAGGGGTTCCGAAGGGAAACTTCTCACGCGCGCGCTCGCGTATTGCGCTGCCGCCGAGGCTGGCTCGGGCTTGTGTTCAAGCGGAGGATTGTGGGGGTCTTTTTTGTTGTTGCTGTTGAGATCTGGCCGTCACGTGTTACGGGATTACCCCCCCCCCCCTCCTAGACGCAACGTGCCCACTGCCAGGGATGAAGAGATGCGTGTGTGTGTGTATGTGTGGGACCTCCTGCCAGCGGGCGTTCGACACTTCACGTGGCCTCAAGGTGCACATAGCCTGGCACAAGCGTCGTGGTGACGTCACCGCTACTTCGTGGCGGATAGCGGTTAGCACGCTGCGCTATGAACCCGGCGACCTGGGTTCGATTCCCGTTCACGGCCAACACCGGTGATGATTATCTGAACCGGTCCTGGGCCTCAGCCTCAAATGAGTACCTGGTGCGGTGTGTAAACATCGCCACTGGGGAGACAAAGGCGGTCTGGCGTGGTGCTGGCCACCCACCCCCTCGTGTGCCGTGCCGGCCTTCATAGTTACTCGCTCGCTAACAGCACTTGCCCCAACAGTATGTTAAGGCTTTACGGGGGACCTTTGCCTTTGTGTGTTTTTGAGTGCGTTGTGTGTGCTAACGCGCAGTCGAGGAACCTTCATACTTAGCCGTATTTGTGTTCACGTATAATATCGTGGATGAGTACCTGGTGTCAATGTTTGTAAACATGAACAAAACACATCGGCTAGGTACGGTACGAAAGAAGTTCAACGTATATTTCACCCACAGGTGCTACTCGCTAACAGCACTTGGGGCGCCGCTGTGGTGGTGAAGAGACGCCATCTCCCTCGCCTGCTAAGCGGGACGCGTGGGTTCGATCCCGGACCCTGGCGATGCCTGTTGTTGTTTATGTGGCGTCCGCGTGTTCTCTCTCTGTCTCTCTCCCCGTGGTGGTCCCAGCGTGGGTTCCTCTCCGGGTTCCTCCTGCGGTGTTGCAATCCTCCACCTCCTCCTCCCCTCCCCCTCCCCCTCTCCTCCTCCTCCTCCTCATCACCCTCCCCCTCCTCCACCTCTCCCTCCTCCTCTTCTCTGTCCACTTCCACCTCCTCCCCCACCTCTTTCTCCCCCCCTCCTCCCCCCCTCCCCCTCCTCCTCCTCCTCCTCCTCCCATCCTCCTCTCCTCCACCTCCTCCTCCCCCTTCCCCTCCCCCCATCCCCCTCCTCCTCACCCTCCTCCACCTCCTCCCCCTCCCCATCCTCCTCTTTCTCCCCTTCTCCCCCTCCTCCTCCCCCCTCCTCCTCCCCCCTCCCCCTCCACCCCTCCTCCTACTCCCCCCCCCCAATCCTCCCCCCTCTTCCCCCTCCTCAGCTTCCCCTCCCCTCCCTCCCCTTCCTCCTCCCTCTCCTCCCCCTCTTCCCCCTCCTCCCCTCCCACTCCTCCTCCCCCCCCTCCCTCACATTTAGACTCAACTCGCGCCAACATGATTTGGCTGCTGCTAATGAATTCCTTATATAGAGGCGTAGATGTGTTGATGTGGTCACCACATCTACGCCTCTATATAAACAGGTGGACTTCTCCACAAATCTGGCTATCGCCTGATGAAGCTAGTTGTAATTAATGGCGAAACGTCGTACTCAGATTGTAAATGTTGTGGCTTGGCTCTCCAACACACAACCGGTTAGTGCTGTACTAGTATACTACACTACACACTACACTATACACTATACTATACACTACATTATACACTACACACTAGTGCTGTACTCGTGACGAATTGGCCACGTTCTGTTTACGTGACAACCCTCACTAGTTGGCTGTGTCGGCTGGTGGCGGGTTTTAACGACACATTTATATATTTACGCGATCTCACCCAAAAACCTCTATTATGGATGATTTTGATCGCGAAAGCCTCATACGTGTGATATAGTTAATTTAGTTTTTAGTTCGTAGTAAAATCCTCTCCGGGGTGAGTGGGGTGTATATTTGTCTATGTGCGTGCTGACAGCACCGCGAGGCTAGACGCGACTGATCTTCGTGCCACTGTGGCTGTGTTGATGGTGGGTGGGTTAGTGGGGGGGAGATGGAGTAAGAGCGGTGGGGAGGGGGGGGGGTCATCGCGTCGTGTGGTATCCACGTGCTCGACATGACCACAACGCACGCGCTTCCTCACGTCACACACCACGTGGTGGGGGGGGGGGGGCTCCAGTGGGCACGCAGCACGTGGGTTCCAGCAGCATCCGTGCGGGGATGCTGACCCCTCGACGTTCCTCCTCTTCCTCCTCCTCCTCTTCTTCTTGTTCTCTCCGCATGGCCGGTGCGGACGCGAGGCGACAGCCACAACGACTTTCGCAGTGCGGCGAAGGCCCCGCTCGGTTGTCGAGGTGAGACATCGCGACTCCGTGGACCCATCCGACGGGGGGCGGACCGAACGTCGAACGTCGATCTGCCCGGTCTCCAGAGACGCAGCAGCAGCAACAACGACAACAGCAACAACAACAACAACAACGCGAGCCACGCCGGCGGATCTGCTCAGCAGAAGTCGCGAACTGGTTTTGATTCCTTACCCGTACCTGGCCGCACCAGGGTCGCAAACGGGTACCCGTACCCGGCCGTACCCTACCCGTACCCGGCCGGGTACGGGTAGGGTACGGGTACCTGATTGCGACCTCTGGGATGAAGCCATGTTGCAGGCGCGGGTGGGTTGATTCTAGGAACTTGAATTGTGAGAAGAGACAAGACGTTGGGAAATGAGTGACAAACGGTTACTCACCAGTGACTTACGGTCTACCCGTACCCGGCCGCACCAGGGTCGCAAACGGGTACCGGCCGGGTACGGGTAGCCGGGTATCGGGTAGGGTACGGGTATCGGGTACCCGGTTGCGACCTCTGCTGCTCAGGGTCAAACAAACGGGCGCGCCGAAGAGGCCGGGAGGCCTCTGACTGGACCCTCAAGATTTGAAGCTTTCGTGACTGCAGGAAATCCACACTCATTGATTCTTTCGGTAAAGTCACGTCGGTAGAAATAGAATAAAAACAAATCACGACGTTTCGAGCGCAACACAAGCGCACGTCTTCAGGTGAAAATCGCGAGAGCCTTTTTCTCAAAACTTATATGAACTAGATTTGAAGCTTTCGTGACTGCAAGGATTCATACTCTTCGGTTTTTTCGGTAAAGTCACGTAGGCACACCACAGCTGCAACTCAGTTTGTAGGACACAGCAGCAGATGTGAGTGTGAAAGCGATGGGTATTACCTTGTTATCGCGGCATCTCTTGAGGAAGGCTAGCGTCTCGAGAAGCTGCGACTTCTTGTCTCGTCTTCTTGGTTCGTTCGGTAAAGTCACGTAGAAGGGAAGTAATAAAATAATAAAAATAAAACATAATAATACCGAAAGAACCAAGAAGATGTATCCCTGCAGTCACGAAAGCTTTAAATCGAAATTCTTGTCTCGTTTTCTGTTAAAAGCTCTAACAGATAGGTGAAATTCCTCCCCGTAGAGGCTATTAATTCTAGATTTGAAGCTTTTATATGAACTCTGGCTGGTAACAGCTTCTCTTCACAAGGCAGCAGACATCGTTGCTGCTCGCAGCAGACATCGCACCTGTCGCGATTTTGACCTGAAGATGGGTGCTCGCGTTGCGTTCGAAACGTCGTGATTCGTTTTTATTTTCTTGGTTCTTTCGGTAAAGTCACGTAGAATGGAAATAATAAAATAAAAAAACATAATAAAATAATTCTCACGACATTTCGGCCACAACGCAAGCAGCCGTCCTCAGGTGGAGAGCAGGTCTGTCGAGTAGACAGAGTCTGAACGACAGACCTGCTCTCCACCTGAGGACGGCTGCTTGCGTTGTGGCCGAAACGTCGTGAGAATTATTTTATTTTGTTTTATTTTTATTATTTTATTATTTCCATTCTACGTGACTTTACCGCAAGAACCAAAGTGCCAACTACTGGCTCGGACAAATGCCCCTTACATGGACACGGCGTGGGAAGGCCTTCATCCAGCAGTGGATTGAGAGGGTGGGGAGGGGGGACCGCACACACACACACGAGCGAACGCGCACAACGCTGAAATGATTTGCCGATGCTGCTGCTGTTTCGTTGTCACCATCACGGTGACGTCACCATGGCCCCTTGCACCAGGCTGGGTGCACGTTTAAGTTGAGTCGCATCGACTGCACGAACGACCCCGACGCGTCCGCCATGAACACTGTGTGGAACTAAAAGGAAGGGGGGGGCCCTTTGATATAATAAACGACGTTTTGGGCGATGATCCTTTTTCGACGGTCTTATATAGGTGCCTGTTCACAGCACGAGTGTAGATGTGTGTGTGTGTTCGTGTGTGTGTGTTCGTGTGTGTATTCGGGTGTTCGTGTGTGTGCGGGGGGAGCGGTGGTGCAGCGGTTAGCGCGCTGCGCTATGAACTCGGCGACACGGGTTCGATTCCCGCTCACGACCAACACCAGTGGCGATTATCTGAACCGGTCCCGGGCCTCCCCTAGGTCGACTCAGCCTCAAATGAGTACCTGGTGCGGTGTGTAAACATCACCACATCAGTACTCGGGAGATAAAGGCGGCCGAGAGTGGTGCTGGCCACCCACCCCCTCGTGTGCCGTGCCGGCCTTCATAGGTGCTACTCGCTAACAGCACTTGCTAACAGCACTTGCCCCAACAGTCTGTTACAAGGCTACACGGGGGAGCTTTGTTGTCTTTGTGTGAGTGTGCGCTCGTGTGAGTTGTTTTGGCTACACAGCCCTCACGGCTATCATGTACTTTGAAGAAGGGCCATTGCCCGAAACGTTGCTTACACTGTTATTTAAAAAATAAACATTTTCAGACCACGCCATGTTATTAAGGAATCTGTTGATTTTTTACAATACTATTATTATTACTACTACTACGAGATTTGTCGACAAGGCCAATTGGGCTGATGGAGCTTTTTAAATTAAATTAAATGTGCGTGCTTTGTGCGCTGTTTTAGTCCGGGGGGGAGGGAGCGGTGGCACAGTGGTTAGCGCACTGCGCCACGTGATCCCGCCACGTGACGTCTGCCCAGAGGTCCGTACTGC